ATCTACACTCAAAAGAAGGTTTCAATGTATTCTTTAAAGTCTCAGCAATTGCCACCCACTAAGCAGAGTACACTCTTGTTGCAGAAACATCCATTTATATATGACATCCATATAAAGTATTTTCTTGTTAATTAAATAGGTAAAATTAAAAATCAACCTATACATATGTTATCAAAATAAACCAAGGATTTTCCTTGAAGTATCTGAAGATATATGTAATTCACCATAAGAAAATATCAGTGTGAAGACAAGGATGGCAAATTTTACATAGGTGTGACAGATCAGTGTCAGCTTTTGATATCCTCAAGTTGAACCCTGAAGCTGAGGGGTTTGCTCCCATTAAAAAACCCAGATATTATTCTGGAATAATCTGTCTTGACTGTGGAGGACAATCTGAAAGTTGACACTTTGTCACACACATCCCCCAGCAGTTCTGCAGACAACACATAGATAACAAAAAAAGATTTAGAAATCCCAAGATCTGTTTCAAGCTTGAGCATTGAAAAATAAAACACAGAGTTAAAGTGAGCCAAATGAATCACCTGAAGGTGGTCACTGAAAGGTAGAGTGTTTATTTGTTGCTCTTATGCTCTCTGACAGAAGAAGGAATCAAATAAAACCATTAGGTCAGTTTATGTGTTTATGGATAATACTAGTAAAGTAATGCTTAAATAATCTACAAGCAAGATTTATGACAGAATGTTGCTAGTGCCAGATCTATTGCTAGATAAAATATTGCTATTGGAAGCCAAGAATGCTTCCCTGCAACTCTGCCTCTTGATCAGAAAGATTTGCATAGTGGAAATGAGGGAAATCAGCAATAATTCACCATAGAAAATAACAGTTTTCTATGTCAACACCTGTGAAGACTATGACTGAATTTTAGCATATTGCTTAGATGCATTGAGTGAGCTTCATTTTGGATAAAGATTATTGCTTCTCTGTATCAAATAAAACAGGTAGGAAAACACTCAACTATTTGCATTCATGGAGTACAAATATAATACCTAAGTCTGAATAAATAATTCTACTCAGATTGTCAGATAACTGAAATATTTTCATCCTTTCCTCAAAATATATGTACCTGATTCTGTATATTTGTTGTATTTCAATGTGCCAGCAAAAAAGTATCTTCAAGACTTTATAAGGCTGAGGCAGTTTCAGATGCAGTATTGACAGATTTCTGCTGAACATAAAAATGCACAAAGAAATATTATTTCATAATTCTAAATATTCTGAGTGTTCTGATTGATCTAGGAGGGTTTTTTTATTGTCATGTACACAAAAGTGGAAGTGCCCTCATATCAGAATCAGTTCTTTTCAGTTGTCAAAGTATAATGCAAAACTGGTTGTACTATAAAGTATATGTGTCAAGCAGTAAAAATGATGTAAACGTTGACTATTGGACATCATACATAAGCAACTGTACACCTGACTTGAATGTGGTCATGGTTGCAGCTGCATATTTATGCTTTATGGCCTTTATTTGCCTCATCACCCATGTGAACAAACAGCTAATTTGGGCCATCTATTTGTATATGTGCACCATTTCCTATATAAACAGTATATATAGGAATGTGCAAAGCATGCACTTGTTTTCAATTTCTTCAGCTGCAACTTCAAATTATGATCTTTAGTAGGATCATCGACCTGCATGAACTATTTTTGTCTTAATTTCATATAATGATTGAACGGGTTTCTAATTCTATATGGAAATACTAGTTTCTTGGTAAGAGGTAAATGAAAGTTCCTAGACATGCAAACCTTCTAAAACTAAATTGGTTTCAGTACCAATCAATGTGTTTGATTACACATGGACACACAAAGAGACTCTCTGAAAAACACAAAATGCATTTTCATTTGGCTTGTCAAATGAAAAGTGGAAACATTCTCAAGGGAACAAGAAAAATTATGTCAGGTACTATTACGTGCTCTGACTTTTATCTCAAAGGGCAAATAATCGTGATACAGTAAACAAGAAGTAAAGGTTAATAAAGTGAATATGAGAAGGCTAAAGAAATGCTGTGTCTTTTAAATGTAATAGAATTAATTTTTGTTTCAGGACAACTGCTAGAAGAAGAATAAAAAAAGAAATCCTTATATGGTCTGTGTGGAACATGGAGACTTTTTACAGCATTTGTCTTCGAAGGCTAATACATCTGTATCTGAGAATCTAATTCTGAGTTACCTTGTGGTTTTACGTTTCCACACATTTTTTTCCCTGTCATTGGTAGTTTTTCCATTTTTAAGGGTCTGGCAATTTATGGAAAACCAGATTATCAGAGTTGATATTCTCATGAATGACACATTTCTTTGAAGTCCTTGCTTAAAATCTAGAAAGAAAATATTTTTTCTCTAGAATAGTTTAAGAGTCAGGGCTACATAATACCACAGCAATACAGTTGCATTTTCATATTTAATAAGGGTGCACTTGCAGCACAGAAAGCCAGCCTCATTCCTGTGCTGCATGCGAGGAAGGGGCAAGCAGTGGGAGGGAGATTGTGTGTGATCCTGCCTGGAGAGAGCTATCCTGAGATCCCAACACAGGAAGTACATGGGCCTGTTGGAACAAGTCCATTGGAGGTCCACAAAGTAGATCAGAGCTCTGGAGCACCTTTTCTACAGAGACAGACTGAGAGAGTTGGGGTTGTTCAGTTTGGAAAAGAGAAGAATCCAGAGGACCTTAGGGCACGTTCCAGTACCTGGAGGGGGCTACTAGAGATATGTACAGAGACTTTTTACCAGGGCACGTAGTGGCAGGACTAGGGGGAATGGCTTTGAACTGAAAGAGGGTTGGTTTTATGGTAGAAAGATGGTAGAAATATTTACTGTGAGGGTGGTGAAGCACTGGGGAAGGTCCAGAGAAGCAGTAGGTGGCCCATTACCAGAAGTGTTTAAGGCCATGTTGGATGAGGCTTTGAGTAACCTGGTCTTGTGAAAGGTGTCCCTTCCCATGGTGGGGGAGTTGGAAACAGATGATCTTTAAGGCCCATTCAAATCCAAACATTTCTGTGGTTACATTATTGTAGTCCAAACCAATTCTGTAACCTAAACAAGCGCTTACTTTCTTATGCCAAAAAACAAATCTTTTGAAACTCATGGTGGGCTGCATTCTGCAGATCAAAATGGATTCTGCCTAGGAGGTATGCTTGAAAATTTATTTCAACAAATATATAAGAGTCTTTGACTTAAGCTTTGCAAAAGAGTTCAGGACAGTATGCCCGGTTTTGGGGCATGTTTGTATCTTCTAGTGCATGGGGAAGGTGACTATATAGAATGTATGGTATTGGGCAAAGAAAGCACTTTTATATTTCAACAGAAAGGAGAAGTTTCTATAGAAGCTCTGCCTTACCTTTGCAGCCATTTTTCTCTGTTATGCTACACACAGTTACCTAGGTTCCCCTACCATTGCTATCATAGGTGGAAGCTATGACTCCAGTAGAAGTTGGGACAGTAATGATGCAGTCTTAAGCACCCTGAATTTAGTACCAGGTCTAAAGACTAATGGGTAATACATCACCAGTTCTAGAGCAGAATGTAAGAGAGGTATTTGTAAGAGTGAAAAACTGTAATAACCTTGCAGAAAACACTGCAGTGTTGTGAGTGCCCTGTTCAGTAACCTGTGGTACCAGAAACAGATTGTCTAAATCTGTCCACTGTTTCCCTCAATACATTGAACAGATGCCTGGTCAGCCTTAAAGGTAAAACTTCAGGCATAAAAGTAAGCAGACAGTATTTCTTTGCAAATGTCATGAGGGAATGAAGTCAAGCAATGGTGGGTTGCTCCTGCTGCAGAGGGTGAGAGCATTCAGCTGCTGCCTGCTCTGAAAAGGCATGAAGGCTCTCTCTGTGGATGCTCTTTCTGTGAAACCAAGAAAGAGATAATCAGCTGGGTAATGGCTAATGCACTCAGCAGACAAGATAATGGTAGAGTTCAAAGAGGACAGCAGTAAAGCAGTTGCATAAGCCAAAGACTGTGACTGAAAATGGTGAGATGTGAAAGCTCTTTACTGTGAGGAAAAGACATTGCATTTTGTGTTAGAAGATAAAAACTTGAAATTTGCTTTTCATCTTGGAAAAGGTAAATGGTATCTGTTAATACAGGAAATTTGGGGTTTTTTTATATACTTATATTTGGATAGGAGACTTCAAGAAGATTACCTATGATTTGATAGGCAGTGTGTAAGAATATTTAACTATTCTGGGTATAAGGACTGTATGTGAAGTCTTTAAGTTAGAAAGTTCTTCTTCTTTCTGAGGAAAAAAAAAGAAAAAGCAGTTTAACAAATCAAAACCTCTGAGTAATATTAAGAATATTTCAAAGGCACTCAGTTTTGACTCATTAATCTGAGTCTGAGATCAGTAGGGATCACACATCCTGGACTTCAGTTACAATATCCTTTGTTTCACAGAAAGCTTCAGTTTTAGAGAGTATGTGGAATTCAGCCCACCTAATTTTAGCCTACAGAAAGAACAGTGCATTTTTGTTAGCCTGCTATCTTGAACTCTCCCCAGTCAATGGAACAAAAAGGGCACCTCACTAAGGTCATAATAAATCAGGAAGAATATCTAAACCAGATGGAATAAACATGTTAAACAGATGGAATATGCTGTGTCTACACAGTGTGTGTTTTCCCTCCTTCACCTCCTTCTCTTTGCTTTTGTAAGGGATACTAGAGACAGCTCAGAGAATAGATCTATTAGCTTTATGCCACAATTAAGCAAAATACTTCTGCCTGTCAGCAACCAGCATTCACCCTACCTTTAGTTTGCCATGACAAGCCGTATTAACAAGAAAAACATCTTTGGGCTCTGCAAATGCTTTACAGCTTCCATCTGGCAGCCAGCCGGTGGTGTCAGCTCTGGGCCACATTACATAAGCTGCCTTCTGCAGAGCTGCTCCTGCCCGGCGAGCGCCAGGAGCAGACAGCCGCGGTACAACTGCTGCGCTTGTTATCCCAACCGCGGCCTCAGGAAAATACCACCCTCATTAAACTCACCACAGATGTTCCAAACAAGAGACTCGAGTGTTTTCCTCTCCCTCTGTGTTTGAAGCAAAATGCACCGCATCCTTGTGTGGAGTGGGTTTTGTGCGGTTCTGGAAACGCGCAATGAGCAGAGCACGGATCACGCCTTGTCCCCTGGGGCACACAGAGGTGTACCTGACCACCTCCCTGCCTGCTGTGGCTGAAACACCAGTGCTCAGGAAAACTCCTCTGAATCGCCACTGCATTACTTCTTGGAAAAGCTGAAGCTGTCAATTCAGCCTAGAAAAATTGCTTAAACAGCCCTTTGAATTCTAATCCCTACTTGAATGTTGATCTCCTGGTTTAGACTCTGAAACAAGTTTCCATAATTTTAAATATTTTTCCCCAACTTCTAATCACCTTTGTAAAACAAAATATATACATTTTGTGTATATATATATATATATATATACAAAAAAATATACATATACATACACATACACATACACATACACATACACATACACATACACATACACATATACATACACATACACATGTACATGTACATATACATACACATATACATATATCTGTATTAAAAATATACATCTGTAAAGAGATTTTCTTCACAGATGTACATTTTTTTCACACAGATTCTTCCAGATATTTTCCCGAGTGGAATGAATGAAAATGGTCATGCAAGCGGTTTTTTTAAGTTACAGCAGCAATTTTCTCGAGAAAATGTTTTAAAAATATAAACAAAAACCTTATTTTTGCTCTCAGATTTGGAAATCTTTAGTGCAGAGTGAGATAAATAATGGGAAATGTTGTGAGAACAGGATTTAAGCTGAAACCAATGGCTCTTTAATATGCATTCGTAGTCTTAGAACACGTAGCTCGGCAAGTTTTCTTTGCATGACTGAAGAAACATGAAATTGTATCTACAACAATTGATAAAAAAGAAATTCCTGCCACTTTGAGACGAAGCTAAATAAAATGTATAACCTTAGTAACAAGTAAAGTATATATGCCTAACAATGGAGGCATATATATCCATGTGTCCACTCCCAGTCTATGACCTTATTCTTCAGATACATAGTTTATTAATTGAACTGCTTGGAAACAGAGAGACTACTTTTTCTTTTTGTGTTTTCTTCCTTTGCCTTGTACTTTTATAAGTTAGTTTTAAGTAGTAAACTTGTGCAGACTTTTCTGCAGAATCACAACTAATATGATTGATGAGATCCATCATAGTAGATAAATAAACACTACACTGATTTCTTTTGAGATAGTAACTATATAAAATCTGCAGAAAATACTATTACAATTCTGAAACTCTCCTTAAAGAGAAAATCCTAAATACATACCTCAGGCAGAATAATTGTTTTAATAACTATCTCTTCCTATGTGCTTCAGTACCTTCAGACATACCTGGCTAACAGCATCAGGAAAAACAAAAAGAAAAGCCCCACAAATGCAAAAAAATATTTTTCTCTGCATTTTTCAGAAGGTATATTTTTAAAAACATGTAGCTGTCATTTGTGTGAATGCTGGCCATCTGTCTGCCTGAAGTCCTTTTGCAGACTCATTAGCTGTAAGAATTAAAAGAAAAAACAGTAACTATATATTTAAATTTTCTTTCCATTGTTTTATGGTGCTGTGGAGTTAACAGATGGACTCTAGCAACATGGAAACTGGATTTCCATTTTCTGAATGAAATAGATTTATCTGCAATATGTTTTAGCTTTAGTCAGATGAGCACGCTGATTACATAAAAAGTGGCATTAAAATTTTGCAACATTTGAATGTGGGAAAGAAGAGATTTAGAGCAGAAAAAGATGTAAAATAAATGGTCTTGCAGAGATAGGCATAACCATGCTATAAATTAGCTGAAAGTTGACTGAGTACATCCTTTTACTATTTAATGGCCTTGTTGAGCTATTGTAATATCCCATTTTGAAGCAGCAGTTACCTTTCCTAACAGGCAGAAAGAGTGGCCAGGCAGGAGAGCCAGCAGTTTGATTAATAAGATGAGGGTTGCAAAGGTAAGCAAGTTCAGGAAGTATGGAGAGACAGTATAAAATCAGAGATATCTTAGAATATTCATTTCTCAGAACCTCTTCTAGGTAACCTTGCTTTGTGGGGGGCTTATGCTTTCCTAATCTAGGAGTGTTTTCTTTCTCTTTAGATTTCATATAGTAGGATCTTTTTTTTTTATTTGCCAACTAATGTCTTAATTTGTTGCCCATCCTCCTCTTTTAAAGTATACTGTTATTCCCCTTCTACACTCTTTTGATCTTAACATAAAGGTCTGTTATTTCTTTTTCATTAACTTCTTTTCCAGGTTGAAGGTTACTAGTCTATTTAATTGTTCCACATAAAAAACCCTAAAAAACATATTAAAACCCCCAAAGTTTTACATCTGTGATTATGCTTAATGTTCTTTTCCAACCTTTTTTTTTTATTTTTCTTTAAATTATTATTTATGTAGCTTTTGGCAGGGGATGACCAGAATAGCACACAGGACTCAGTGGAATCAACATGATTTTTACAGAGGTGTAGTACAGAACTGTGCTCCTCTCCATTACTTTCCTTCCACTTTTTTGCCCTTTCCTGATTGCTGCTCTTAGGTTTTCATAGGACTGTGTGCCAAATCTCCTCAGATTGTGTTGTAGGAAGAATTAGGATTTTTTCCCACATGCATTATTTAAAGTTTATCTATACATCTGCCAGTTTGTTATTCATTTTACTGCATGATATTCTTCAGCAGCTCTTCAGTTTGCTTTTTCAGCTTTTACTTCTGCGTATATCTTCAGTAATGCCACTCCATTGATCACCCCCACTTACAGGGCAGTTGCAGTCGTAATGGACACAAGAGATCTTAGCAAGGAGGTCCCTGGGTTTTTGCTAATTGCTTGCACCATTATGGAAGCTTTCTCCTCTGGTTTTGGTTTTTGTGTTTAAACAAGTACAGGCACTCCTACTCTTTCATTGGAGACTTTGCTGAGTACTTTGAATGCCATGAGTGTTACCAGTATGACAACTGGTTTGCACCTTTAATTCTTTCAAGGACCTGCAACTGATCCATGGGGCCTGACCTCACTTTACAAATGAAATTCCCTGGCTGTGTGATGCTTCCCAAGAGTACTTGTTTATCTATTCTTAGGAAAAATGGGTGATGACATTCCTGAGAATAAATTGACTCATAGAATGAATCATAGAATGAGTAGTAAATTCTATGATTCTATGATTCTTAGTTTTTTCAAATTTTCTCAGTCTCAACAAAGACTCTTGTGTAGCTTCCAAGAATGTCTCTTGAATCCTTTTTAAAAATTGCAGTCACATTTGCCACAAAGTGAACTGCAGATACCGAGGCAATTTGAACTGGTCTATTTACACTTGAGTGAGTAGTACATTTTTTTTATCCTTGCAAGGGTGAGGTCAATGCTACTCTGTTCTTGTTACTTGCCAGCTCTCAAATATATCAGGTGTTGTATCCACATCACTTCTGCCAATACTAACATTTAAGACAGAACAAAGAGGTTCTGGTTGGAAACTACTTAAAGTTCATCCACCAGAATAGAAAATGCAAACTTCAATTTATGCTTTCTGTTACAATCATTCTGTTATTTGATAATTTATTTAACAGGAGATTTCCACTTCTGGTTTCTGCTATGATTGGAAAAGATCTATTTATGATCATTTATTTTGCAAGTACCTCTCTGGAATTTTAAAACATCACATGTTTTTAAAAAGTAACAGAAGATTGGAGTTTATTCTGTGCTTCCTCAGAACCTACATTTCCATTCCTGAGACTTGATATACGTACTTGCTTAGTACTTGTATTTACATGTACCACATTATACATGAGGACTAAAATTGCAATATGTCATGACTTGTTGGAACTTGATATTCTTAAGTACCTCCAGTGATGACAGTTCATCCCATTTCATGTAGTCATAAATAAGGTGTGTCTTAAAACATAAAGGAAGATAACTAAAGACAAATAGATCAGTGTGTAAAACCAACATCCACAAATATACTTTTAAAAAAACAACATAAATATTTTAGCTGAAAGATTTTATAAGGAAATGCTTTTTTATTTTGCTTTGTATTTTCATTGGCAGTATCTGGCAGCACAGGAACCAGACAGGTTTTACAAAGCAGAGAGCTTAAATGGAAATGGAAGTTCACATGAGCAGAAATACCTGAAAAACAAACAGTTGTTGCAAGTTAACCCCAGCTGTTAACTAAGCACCACACGCAGCCACTCAGTCACTGTCCCCTTGGTGGGTTTGGGTGAGAGAATCAGAAGGGTAAAAGCTGGAAAACTTGTGGGCTGAGATAAAGACAGTCTAATAGGGGAAAGAAAAGCTACACACTCAAGAAAGAAAAGCATGGAATTCATTCACCACTTCCCATGGGCAGGCCGGTGTCCAGCCACCTCCAGGACAGCAGGGCCCCATCACAAGAGATGGTGGCTTGGATAGACCATCACCACCACACCAAACGTCCCCCTCGCTCTCCCCCAGCTGAGCATGAGGCCGTGGGTTTTGGGACATCCCTTTGGTTAACTGGGATCAGCTCTCCTGGCTGTGTCCCCTCCCAATTCCTTGTGCACCCCAGCTCACCTACAGTGGGATGGTGTGAGAGACAGAAAAGGCCTTGGCTCTGTGTAAGGGCTGCTCAGCAGCAGTGAAAACATCTCTGTTGTCAGCCCTGTTTCCAATACAAACCCAAAACACAGCCCATGCTTGTTACTGTGACAAAAATTAACTGTATCCCAACCAAAACCTGCACATGTGAACAGCTTGTTCTCTTGTTAACTTTGGCTTAATCCAATTTTTAAATAACATGGTGTCACAAAACTAATTAAAATGAGTAATATTTGCTAATTCCTATATGTGTGATTTGGGGGACAAAATAAACAACTTTCTAATTGCATTTAGGAAGTCTTCTTGGAATTGGGGAGTTTGGAATTGGTTGGAGGTTCAGAAGAATGAACAAAAGCACAAAACGTACAGAAAACTTACGGGAGATAACAGTTAAGAATTGAAATTAAAGGCAGAAGATAATTATTGAAAATTGGAAAGGCAGTAATTATGTGTTGTTTGTGCAACCATATAATCGCAAAAACAATCTTTTTTGGCATACAATTTTA